TCAGGGCGGCTGTGTTCCTGGATCCGGCTGGGATGAGGCCTGTAGGTGACCCAAACTATGTCGGATGTGGAGAGCAGAGGGAATTCCAGGGAGCAGGGTGCAGACCTGGGGGAACACATGTGAGAAGAAACAAGATACAAATGGGAAATAAGTAGAAGACCCAAGTTCCAAGCCTTTACCTGTGTGACCCTGGGCAAGCCACTCGCCCTTTCTGGGCAACGGCAAAAAGACTCCTGCAGAGACCATCTCAGAGATGCCCGGGCGTAGACTTGCATATTCTTGGATGATTTTCAAGTCTGTGGTTCTGCTGGGTGAGCCCTGCAGTGACTCCCCAGGACCACACGGGAAGCCCAGCCCATTAGCAGGCGCCTGAGCCAGCCTGGCTTACCCCTGCCCTGGTTCCAAGTTCACCTCCAGGCTTCTCCCTGCCTCCAACCTCGCGCTGGGAGTAGCTGCTTACGGACTGTGGGTTACTGGCTCGGGCCACCCTGTGTGCCTGGAATGGCCCCGTGTCCTCCATCCCCAGACTGGCTGACCTCTGCTGCTGCTGCTCCTCCTCCTCCTCCTCCTCCTCCTCCTCCTCCTCCTCCTCCTCCTCCAGGAAGCCTTCCCTGAGACCCTCCAGCTGACAGGATGAGCTGGCTGCCTCTCCTCTGTGTCCCCTCCCGTCCTAAGCCAGTGATTCTCAAACTCCATCGAGCTCAGACTCACCAGGTGACATGCAGACTGCCGGGCAGCCCCAGGTTCTTAGCCCAGTAGGTCTGGGCTGGACCCAAGGTCTTCCAGGTGCCGTGGCTGACCCGGAGATCCGTCATCCACAGGACCTCTGACCTCTAACAGAGGCCAATCTCCCTCCAATGAACTGAGCACAGACCATCATAGCCTCTATGTCCACCAAAGAATAGGGATTAACTGAAAGTTGTTTGGAGTAAATACAAGCCAACAAGCCCGAGAGCGCTATGAAAGAAAACTACACGGTATCCTGTAGTAGACAGGCTAAAGTGGACTTGTGGCTTCAACACACGCTGTTGGATATGGACCACGTGTCAAGTTCAGCGCAGGATTGGTACTGCAGGTGCCGCTGGACCTAGTCCAGGATGAAGCGATGCCCTGCAATATTTTACTCACGTGAAGCTCTGCTGTGTGATTTCCTGGATGCCTTCACCCCTCTGAGCCCGCCCACCCCACAGGGTTAAGATAATTGAGTGTGAAACAGAGTGCTGGCACTTGATAACCATTCAACACGTTCTTAAAAATCCTCACCAACAGGAAGCCAGCGCCTGGCCCATCAGACATGAAAGCACTTGAGAAGCTCAGTGGGTGTGACACGTGCTGGTGACACAGGAACAGGCAGCCAGGCCAACGGGACAGGCCCAGACACTAACGACAAGTCAGCACAAAATATAGGTGCTGTTTAAATCAGCAGGGAGAGAACAGATTGCCTAACTAAGTCTCTTGGAGATGACTGATCAGCTAATTTGGGGAAAATTTAAGCGTGTTAGTTTTCACCAGTCAGTTTGAAATAAAATTAAGATTGGGACAAACTGGGTGCAGTGGCGTAAGCCTATAATCCCAGCCGCTTGGGAGGCTGAGACAGGAGGATTGCAGGTTCAAAGCCAGCCTCAGCAACAGTGAGGCACTAAGCAACTTAGCAAGACCCTGTCTCTAAATAAAATATAAAATAGGGCTGGATGTGGCTCAGTGGTCGAGTGCCCCTGAGTTCAATCCCTAGTATCACAAAAATTAAAAAAATAAACAAATAAATAAATGAAGATTGAGACAGGTGCACATCTCTTATCTAAAGCCCTCGTGGGCAGATGGCTTGGGAACCAAGCTCCAAACTTTAGAGAAAGAAAAATAGTGCTTTGGTCAAGTGTTTTGTAACTCCCCCATAGGGTGTGGGAGCACCCCACAATGAGTCACATTATCATTTCTACAGGCAAGTTATGAAAATTCATACCACGTGGAAAAAAGGCCACAGATAATTTGACCTCTGGCAACAGTGAAGATTTTGCTATCAAGAATGACCACAGGTGATTGTTTTTTCAGAGTAACTTCCATTTCAGAATTGTAGGTAAGGGACAGTGGACCTGGGATGCCTAGCATTGGTGAGCTTGCATGTAGGAAGATCTACTCTCTAGTTCATTTGCTGATGGGAGTGTAAGTCATTATAATCCCCTCAAGGACAATTTGGTCATACCTTTGGTCAACCTTTGGTCATTTGGTCAACCTACCCCAAATATAGACCTTTTGACCTAGCAATTCCAGTTCTAGAAAGGTACACAGCAAAGGGACAGTTGGGTATGTGTGTCCAAGAATGTGTTCAGGGGGACATTTATCACAGCAATGTCCATAAGAGCCACAAAATAGAAACAACCTAAATGTCCATCTGTAGGGGATCGATGAAACAGACAATGATACACTCACACCAATGGAATACCACAGATCCACTACAGACTTGATAAATCTATATTTGACATGGAAAGAAGCAGCGATATACCATTTAGTCCAAAAACAGGCTATAAAACATTATGTAGCATATGATGCCATTTTCATAAAAATAAAAAGTACATGTCTGTCTGCATATGCTTAAAATATGGAAGTTTTCTCCACCAAAATATTAACATCTGGGTGGTGGGGTTTCTGGAGATTTTTTACTTTCTATTTATGCTTTTCTAAATTTGTAATGAGAGCATGTTGTTTTTAAAACCAGAAAAAGTAATAAAATTTCTCATCCTATAAAGAGTGAAGGTATTAAAAAAATAGGGATAATGTCTTTCTCGAGTGACGCTTAAGCTGTGCTAAAATAGAGTCCCCCACCCAGAGTCTGAGTGGGTGGCTTGTCTCTGGTGTCCTCCTCGTGGTCAGAGACCCTCTCTCTGCTCCTTTCTCTTGGCACCCGAGGTTTTCAAGCTGCCTCAGTCTCCCCAAATGTCCCACACAGGCCTGGGCACTAATCACGGGACTTGACGCGTCTTCGGTAGCCAGAACGACACAGGATGTTTGTACATTCGGCTTCTCATTTAAGTCCCAAATAACTGAGGGATGAAGTAGATGTTCACAGGGAGAAACTGAGATTCCCAATGAGTAAAGTGACCAGCCTAATGAGGGCCAAACCCTGTGATTCTGACTCCCGGGCCGGTGTTCCTACCACCCTGTACATCAAGACACTGGGCACAGATGACTTGGATGGGATCCTGGCTCTGCCACATACCAGCTGCATGGCTTTGGGCATGTTATTTAATGTCTGTGCCACAGTGTCTGGAACATAAGTACTGTGTACATTTTACTTATTATTATTATTATCATACATTCACATTTGAATGGGGGAAATTCCACGAAAACCCCAAGAACATGCTCTCTCATGTAGTAAATCTGGGGAGTCTGACATGGTATAAGTAGGAGGATTTGGGGGCAGGAGAGTTGTCCTCTTTTTCCATTTGCAGCCTGCAGGCTGTCTCTTAATGGGGGGCCAGTTCTATAATCCAGAGTCAGAAGACTACTGAACATTTTGGAGGAGAGACAAGGCTGCAGAGGAAAGCCAGGCTGATCCCCATCTCCACCTGCTCTAGGAGAAGAGCATGCCTGGACTGACTGCGGTCCTGGGCTGAAGGAGACATGGAACAGAATCAGTGTGGACCTGCAGCTTAGGCAGAGCAACCCAAGTCAACGGATAGACCCAAGGAAGAAAAAAAAAATGTTTGTCATTTTAATCCACTGAAATGGTGTTGTTTGTTACGCAGCAACAACTGCTGAATACAATCTGCATCAGAGCATGGATTTGCACATCTGATTAAACAACCACACTGATGACTGTGTGGGGCATCTGCCCTATAATGTTTATTCTGGCCTCTCTCCTGTTGCTGGCAGGGACCAGGAGTTTATTCAGAACAAGCCCATGTATGAGAGTGTGCCGCTTGTGATTGCAGCCTGGGAGGAAATGAGCAGATATCTCCTCTCAGATTCCTCCCCATTCTCCTTCCCTGGCTTCTCTGGAGCTTCTCTTTTCTGCCCTAACCCAGGCCTTTGAAGTTCAGAGCAGCGAAGGTGCCTATAATTAAGATCACCAAAGAGGAACTCGCCTCTGGGCAGCTCATCCTCATCTGTGAAGGAGGCTGCAGGCACCTGGCCCAGAGCAGTTTGTGAGACCGCAGCAGACTGCCTGCTTCCTTAGAAGGCACCTCCATCTGCAGGTTCATCTACCAAGGGAGCTCCGGCCGATCGCACAGTCCCCCTGCCCAGCTGCGGTGGGAAGAGAACTGGCCCTGGAATCAAGGAACCTGAGTCTCGCCTGGCTGGTCCTCCTAGCTCCAGGGGTGCCCTACACCCATGATGGACCTGCCTAAATTCTCATGAATGAACTTGACCTTGAGCTCCCAGAGACAGAGAGATGAACCCTCAAAGGTCAGGGAAATCTTGAGGCTGGAGACAAAGGAACAGAGCGAGAATAATCCCAGGCACCGATTCCATAACCCCAGGAACCTCCAGCTGCCTAGAGTCCTGTCTGCTCCCTGCCCACGCTGCAATCCAGAAAGGGACATGAGGGTGTGCCCCACTTCCCGAGCAACTCTGAGAATCCCCTTCCCACCACCTGCACCCCCCACCCACTAAGTCCATATTTACTCAGACTCTGCTATGGGCTATGGGCTTTGGGCTATGAGGGTAAGAAGGACCCTCATCAAGCTGAAATCCTCATGCCTCCCTGGGGACCCCCACTCGGGACAGGGACCATCAGGAAGGATGTTGCTTTGAGAAGCGATTCACATAGTTGATTGCATTCAACTCTCCTGATCTTATGAGCTGGTAGGTATCACCCCATTTGGCAGATCAGGAAATGAAGGCTCAGAGAAGCCAAGCGTCCTGACTGTGGCCACTGAGTGAGGCTGAGGCAGAGGGATTTCTTGTCTCCAAAGCCCAGTCTCCCTGCCCCCATGCTTCTAGAATGTTCCTGAGGCAGTCTCCAGAGCTGGTCCCCAAGGATTTAAAAAAACATAAGACGCTCACTGCACTTTGCTGCCTGGTTTTTTGGCCCGCGGTTGCCTCGGAAAACCTTTTCGAGTGCTGCTTGGTTTTGGTTTGTTCTTCTTGAATACCTTATTCACCCAGTTTGCATCCTCAGCCGGGCTCTCCCTGGGCAAAGACAGGAAATAGGTGGTTTGTTAGTGGCCCATCCCACGTCCATCATTCTAGGGTCCTGCTGTAGCTCAGGAGGAGGACCCACGGGGTGGCCGAGCACCAGAGATGCCCAGCAAACACTGATGGATATTGATGAATATTTACCTAACATCATGCCAACTAGGCACTGAGACTCAGACTTGTGTTCACTGTTAGATGGAAATGCAGACGTTTAAGTGATGTGAACACAATGCAAAATCTATTCGCAAGCTCAAAATTATTACATTTATACAAACTCTGTCAAAAAGTTGTAGAGTTAAAATCGAGCATAATGTGGCGGGCAGAGTCGGCTTTGGCTTAGTAAGTTGGATCCAATGAGGCTGCTCAGGCCCTGCTCTCCGGACCTGCAGCTGCCAACCCTGGACCTGGCCAGTCAGGGCTGTCCCAGCGGGGGATGGAGTTGTGGGTGGGATCGGGGAGAAAGGTGCTTGACTCACCTCTGATTTCCCCCTGGCGAACCCAATTGCCATCCAGCCAGCCAGGAGCCCAGGTAAGTAGCCCCCAGGGAACATTAAAAAAAAATATGGGGGTCTAGAACCCCAGACCCTCTCATAATTGCCGTAAAGATAAAAATCCAGTCTGCTGAACACACTGGACAATTCACGCACACTGTAAGAAGGGCTCCCCTCAACCAGACGGCGCAGGGGCTGCCGAGGCCGGCAGGGTGCTGCTCCCCGCTTTGAACTGTGGCTCCACCGACAGTAAAATACGGGGCGCGTCCGCGCGCTGCACCCACAGGGGCGTCCCCGGTGTGCAAAGGAGGGATCCGAGGAGCACAGCGTCCTCCACGCGAGCAGGCTGGTGCCCACACGGCGGAGGACAGAAAGGGACACGGGAACCGCGCAAGCCAGAGCAGGGTCGCCGCGTCCCTGGCCGCTGAAGGGGTGGGGCGCGTCGCCTAGCCGGGCCCTTTGCCCTGACCGGAGCAAAGAAGGCGCTCCCAGGGAAGGCACTTACGTCGCGCGAGGCCGGCTGATGGTTTCCTTCCCGGGGACGAGGACGCGAGGTACCGCACTTTCGGGATTTGCAGAGGCGAGGGGAGCTTCAGGCAAAGCAAAAACCGGAGACGTGAGCGACAGAGGGCCCTGGCGGGTCTTGGGGTTTTGTTTTATGCCAGGGATTGAACTCAGGTGCGTAACCACTGAGCCTCTTCCCCGGCCCATTTTATTCTTTTTTATTTTGAGAAAGGGTCTTGCAAAGTGGCTCAGAGCCTCCCTAAGTTGCTGAGGCTGGCTTTTGAACTTGTGATCCTCCTGCTTCAGCCTCCTGAACCACTGGAATTACAGGCATGTGCCACTGCAATTGCCACTTGGTCCTTTTGAAATGACAACAGTAAGCAAGAGTGTTTAAAAAAAAAAAAGTAAATTCTCTTGTTCTCAAATTCCCATATTTAAGACCAATCACATTACTAGATTTGGAAGAGACCCAGGGCAGCAGCTGTGAAAGGGCTGAGGCTGACCCTTGATGGGACATTAGGGATGACTCCTCCCAGAAAGCAGCAGGTAGGGGGAGTCTTCAGGAAAAACCCCTCAGAGGGGCCTGGACTCCCATCACGGGCTTCACGTAACACTTTCTTCTCAGAATGGAGAATATCAATCATGACCATCACTCTTAAGCAAGCTCTTTGAATGTTTTCAATGAGGATGGGATGCAGGCTAGCCGAAGATAATTGTGTGGTAGATATAAATATAAGTAGTATAAAATATAGATTTCCCGATCTGAAGTTCCTTTATTAGGGTCCTCTGGGATGTCCCTAGGTGTCCCCAATCTATTTGCAGTGAAGCTTGCCCATTGTTTATAGATTTTCCTAAGGCCATTTGCAATTCTGTCCCCAAATAACACATGAGCCGTCACTGAATCACTGACGGCACTGAACCCAAGGGGGTCCCCTCTGCCCAACTCCCACAGATGGCTGGGGATGTTGCTGTGAGGTCCACTGTAGGTTGTGACAGATTTTCAGCTTTGGTACTTTTGCCATTGAGGCCAGATACTTCTTTGGTGTAAGAGCATCCCTGTCCTCTGCCTACTAGATGACATCCAAAAATATCTCCAAATATTGCTAGATGCCTCCTGGGAATAGGATCACTTCTAGCTGAGAACCAACCACTGGCCTGTCTGTGCCTCCTCTGCACGAGTGAAGAAAGCCAACTCAGGGCCAGGTCTGCTCGGGCTCTGAAGACAGCCACCTTTATGTTCAGGGGTGACCAGCTGCAAATAAAAGCATTATACTGGCCAGGTGCAGGAGCACACACCCCCAGCAGCTCTGGAGGCACGAGGATGGTGAGTTCAAAGCCAGTCTCAGCAATGGCAAGGCGCTAAGCAACTCAGTGAGACCCTGTCTATAAATAAAATACAAAATAGGGCTGAGGATGTGGCTCAGTGGTCGAGTGCCCCTGAGTTCAATCCCTGGTACCTCTCCCCAAAATGCATTGTACTTTAACAGGAAATTAGAAAGCATGTAAAATCCTTCAATTTTTCGACTCCTAATGTTCTTGTGTTTTTGTCTTATTGTGATTAAAAGAATAAAGGTTAATCTATTCCAGAGAAAAGGGGTCACTTCTGACTTGGGGTAGAGCCCCAAAGAAGCAAACCTTGCTGATCTGGGCTTTTAACTATGGAAGTTTGGCTGGGGGACGGTGAGGACCACCTGAAGTCCATCTTCTGGGCTGCTCTCCTCCTGCCCACACCCAGGCCACCCTTGGTGGTCACACGCATCTCCTCTTCACCCTGTGTGTGCCTTCCACTTCCTTACTCTGCACTTGAGCCTCTTGAATACGAATCTGAAAGCTCTTTCTTCTCCATCCCATAAACCACGATTGTCAAAAACCTGCCCATTTAGCTCCTGTCACCTCCAAGAAGTCTCTCTTATCCTTATTCCCCAGAGAGAAGTGGTCAGATTTTCTATGAATACACTCCAACATGGGTTTTGTTACTTATGCTTTCAACTTGTGGGGATACATGTTGTCTCTCAGGCTGGAGAGATTTTATGGGGGTAATGAATCAAAAACAGTTCATCTTGGTAGCCCCATAAGGTGTTTTCTCAAACTCTCCGTAGTGAACAATTGGTTTTAAAAAATTATTTGCGGGCTGAGATTGTGGCTCAGGGATAGAGCACTCGCCTAGCGCGGGTGGGACTCGGGTTTGTTCCTCAGCACCACATAAAAATAAAGGCATTGTGTTGTGTCCATCTACACCTAAAAAATAAATATTTAAAAAATTATTTGCAATCTTTAATGGGCTGTATTCTTGTAAACTACAATTCAAATGCATTAGTAGAAAATTGATCAAACTGTTGGGGCTCTGCACTCATTTCATAGTGACCTAGTAACAGTGCGGAGGCTGGCCGCCATCTGTGGACCACTCTTGAGTATCACCGCCCAGCACTGCACAGGGGCTTTCACCATTAAATTCCACTGAAGCAGCCCTGCAGCAGTTCAAATGGGAGTGGGCACAATCACAACAGGCTGGTGAAAAAGACAGACAGCCGAACCCCACCCCGTTTGTGACTTAGTAGGTCTGTGGTTGGACCTGAGAATTGTCACTTCTAACAAGTTCTCAGACGATGCTTTCCTAACTGGCTGGAGGGACCACTTTGAGAATCACAGCACCAAAGGAACAAAGAGATGGTGATCGCACTGCCCCCTTGTGGTGGTCTGAGCTCATAACAAGCAGAGCGGCTAAAGCTTGTTGAGAACTCAGACAGGAGAATGCAGTGGGCAGCCAGAGGGGTCCCTACCTTGGGGCTGTTCTGGGCCCAGTTCTTCCACAGGTGGTTGTGCAGGCGACGCTAAAGGAGAGCCTCCAGGCGATGGTTGTGATGTCCCCGCAGCTGATGGCCCCAGGGGTGGCCTGGGTGATGTGTGTGCCTGGGAGGGTGGTGAGCTGAGTGGCAGTCCAGATGGTTGTATCTGCTGCCCAGGTGACACAGGTGACAGCTCAGGTGGTACAAAAGGCAGTGGCGGGCCAGGTATTGGGCTGGGTGATAAGTGCCCAGCTGAGCCCAAGGCTGGTGGCAGAGGTGGCAAATCACTTGGAGACAGTGGCAGTGATGAGGTCTTTGGTGGTGCAGGTGGATGTTTGGACGTAGGGACAGGTGGAGAAACAGGTGACTGCACAGGGCACTCGCACGTGGACTGGGGAGTCTTCACGGGTTGGGGCACAGGCGGGTGGCCATCCCCGTTGTCCCCCTGGGGACCAAGCTCTGAGGGTTCCTCCCGCCGTGTTGGGGGGCTCGGCTGGCTGCGCTCGGGGCACTCATTGCCAAGGGCGAGTTCTATCTGGCAGTACACTTCCACGCGGGGGAACAACACTGTCCTGGACGGGGAATCCAGGTAGGCAGCATCTGGGAAGAACAATGGCCTGGGTCACAGGCAGCCTGACGAACCCCGACATCACCCAGCATCTGCAAAAACGGACCCCAAGTTATCTTCATAAATGGGACTAGTGCTTTCAATGGCCTTTCTCTCCTTACTTCAACTCGCAGTGAGAAAAACAGGCATGATTCTCCCTGGATCTGGAGTCTACAGTCTAGGGTGGGGAGGCAGACACTGCCCAAGTAGTCTAAGAAAAGCTAAGAAACAAACTGTGGCCCTTAGTTAATAATGATGTATCAATATCCATTGGTTAATTGGAACAAATGTGACATATGGTGTACCCTATTACATATATACCATATTATAACATTTAATGATGTGAGACTTCAATAATAGAACCGGACACAGTGGTGCAAGCCTGTAATCCCAGCGACTCAGGAGCCTGAGGCAGGAGGATCACAAGTTAGAGGCCAGCCTGAGCAACTTAATGAGACCTTGACTCAAAATAAAAAAATAAAAAGGGCTGGGGATGAAGCTCTGTAGTAAAGCACCTCTGGGTTCAATTCCCAGTACCAAAAATAATAATGATAATCAAAAGAGGAGGAGGAGGAGGAGGAGGAGGAGGAGGAGGAGAAGGAGGAGGAGGAGAGTGCACAGAATCTCCCTGTACTATTTCACATTTTTTTTTTGGTTTTGTTTTCATACCTGGAATTGAACCCAGGGGTACTTAACCACGGAGCCACATCTCCAGCCCTTTTTTGTATTTTATTTAGAGACAGGGTCTCAATGAGTGGCTTAGGGTCTCACTGAGTGGCTTAGGGCCTCACTGCTGAGGCTGGCTTTGAACTTGAGATCCTCCTGCTTCAGCCTCCCAAGCTGCTGGGATTACAGGTGTGCACAATCTCACTTAACCTATTTCACAATTTTTCTATAAGTCTTAAACTATTACACAAATTATTATTAAAAGGGAGGTATGGGAAGACAGCTGAGCAGTCACTTCACCAAGAAGATAAGGATGGCAAACAAGCAAATGAAAGATGCTTAACATGGTTAGTCATTAGGGAACTGCAAATCAAACCCCAGTGATACCTCCGCACACCTACTGGAATGGCTGAAGCTAAGTGACCCACCATACTAACTTGTGAAAATTTGGAGTAACTGGAGCTCTCACCCACTGCAGGGGGGTGGGGAACAGAAGGTGGTACAGTGACTTGGGAAGCAATTTGGCAACCTCTTAAAAGTCAAACACACATTCTGATTATAGATCCAAAGGCACCAAAAACAGGATTCTAAAGAGAAATTCATACCCCTCATGTTCATCATGGCTTTATTCACAATAAGGAAGGGGGAACACGTGCGGCCCATCAGCAGATCAATGGATAAGGACAATATGGTACAAATGATGGGCTCAGCTTAAAGGTGAAAGGGAACCCTGCACCTCCCACGACACGACCAACCAGAGGACGCTGTGCCAGGTGACATAAGCCAGTCACTTATGTCACACTGTCTGATTCCACGTCTATGAGATATCTAAAGTAGCCAAACATGTAGAAGCAAAGTCAGTGGCCAGAGGCCGGAGGAGAAGAACAGAGGAATTGGCGACCAGTGGCTTTGGAGTTTCAGTTTTGCAAGATGAAGAAGTTCTAGCGTTCTGTTGCACAACAATATGAACCTCAACTGTGTACTTACAATGGTTTACAGTTATTTTTCCACAGTTAAACTCTATGTGGCACATGCCTGAAATCCCAGCGACTCCGGAGGCTGAGGCAGGAGGATCACGAGTTCAAAGCCAGCCTCAGCAACTTAGTGAAGCCCTAAGCAACTCAGCGAGACCCCTGAATCTAAATAAAATACAAAAAAAGGGGTGGGGGGCTGGGGATGTGGCTCAAGCGGTAACTCGCTCGCCTGGCATGCGCAGGGCGCTTGGTTCGATCCTCAGCACCACATAAAAATAAAATAAAGATGTTGTGTCCACCGAAAACTAAAAAATAAACATTTAAAAAAAGGGGGTGGGGATGTGGCTCAGTGGTTGAGTGCTTAGGGCTCAATCCCCAGTACCAGAAAAAACAACAGAACTATATGCGTTAAATATACACATACCACACAATCCAGTTTTCCATTGTTTACCCAAGAGAAATGAAGACGAGTGTCCATACAGACACTCACGGAGTGTTCAAGCAGCTTCGTTCATAACAGCCCAAATCGGGAAGCAACCTGACTGTCCATCAGCAGGCGAATGGAGGAGCGAGCTGTGGGTGTGCTCACAAGGTGGGTGGGAAGGGAAAGTTAAAAAGGGGGGGGGGGGGGGGTGAACTGTTCCTATTTGCAAGAACATGGGTGAACCTCGGAATACTTCTGCAGAGTGAAGGAATCAGATAAGAGAGAATTCGATCTATTAGATTCTATTTATCAAAATTCTAGAAAATGCAAATTCCCCGTGATGACAGAAAACAGACGGGGATTGCTTGGGAAGGACGGTGGGGGGAGTCCTGAAAGGGCACCAGGGGACTTGGATGGCTCGCTGCCTTGATTGTGGTGATGTTTCCACAGGGGTGTGTGTGTGTGTGTGTGTGTGAGAGAGAGAGAGAGAGAGAGAGAGAGAGAGAGAGAGAGAGAGAATCAAACTGTGAGATGGAGGAAGGAGGAGAGAAGCCAAGGGAGGGCTGGGCGCGCCAGATGTCCCATGGGCGTTTGGAGGTGGCGCCCACGGAGTGCCAACCTCGCCCCGCGCCCTGTCCCCACGGCTGCGTGACAGTGTGGCTTTTCGAGCGCGCCAGCGCGGGGGGGGGGGGGCTACAGGGGAGGCCGAGGGTGGGAGCCTGGCAGCAGGAATGGGGAGGAGGATGTGAGCCCTTGGGAGGGAGGAGAAGGAGGACGCGAGGAGGTGACATGGGGAGTTGGCCGGGACACCTTTCGGGATGTGGCTTCCTGCCAGAGGTGACCCCTATCCAGAAAGCAGCCAGGCTGCTCCCCAGATGGCAGGTGGCACCAACCGAAGTGTCTCCGGACGTGTCCGTGGCTCCGGTCACATCCAGGGCCAGGAGGAAAGCCCAGTCCCGCCCCGGCCCAAGGAGCTGGAGCTGGAGGCCGACTGCCCGAGAGCAGGCGCGCATGCGCACACTGGAAGAGGGAGCCCTGTACTCAGCCGGAGCCGGTGTGAGAAGTTTTCCTGCCTCCAGCTGAATCTGCTCCTACTTGGTGTGATCCCAGGGCCACTGGAGACGCTGCCACCCTCCACTGCGCTGCCTCGAGCGTTCCGGGGACCCCTGGAATCCCACCACTTGGTTTCATCCGTGGGGTTTAAAGCTGTCAGTCAAACCTGTGCAAATGTCCGCACCAGCCGTGGGCAGAGGGTGAGGAGGGTGGAGGGCGTGAGGTCCCTCCAGAGGGTGCAAGAAGGGCCACTGACAAGGGGGCGGCTAATGATGCTGCAGAGCCACTTTGTGACTGTCCCTAGGACTCGTCCTGAGAGAAAAAGAAAATACATTCCAGGGGGGAGATGCCACCGTGGGCAGGTGTCGAGGGGGCTCCCAGGGCCGGGGACTGGAATCTGCTCCAGGATCTAAGCCCCAAATGAGGGGGTCTTCAAACTCCAAGTCCTCCACACCGACCACCCCTTCAGAAAGGGTGGGGATCCTGGGGGGGCCTGGCCACCCCTCCTGTTGCCGAGCTCTGTCACTGAGCCTCCTTCCCTTCCCTACCCATACTCCTGGGGTCATCTATGTTCAGACCCTTGGGCTCCAATCGTCCCAGCTGTCACCACAGTAAGTGTGAGGAAGAGAGGGCTGTCAGAGGGAGTCCACATGAGGTGGCATCTGTCCTGCAGAGGGTAAGAAGCAGGCCTTTCACCAAGGCCAGAAGGGGCAGTGGGATTAATTGGCTGCTGCTCTGATGTCCTCAGTAAGTGCCACCACCGATCTGAGCACTGGGCTCAGGCCTTGTGTGCTCCAATCCTTTAATCCTTCAGTCAGTCTCTGAGCTAAGCTCCAAGATTAGCCTCCTTTTACAGATGAGAAAACTGAGGCCCCAGAAGATTAGTTACCTTCTCAAGATCCTACAGTCAAGTAGGTGTTGGGCACTAGGATCTAAACTCTACCTTTTGTTAAAAAAATATTTTTAGTTGTAGATGGACACAACACCTTTATTTTATTTTATTTATTTATTTTTAGGTGGTGCTGAGGATCAAACCCAGTACCTCACACATGCTAGGCAAGCACTCTACCACTGAGCCAAAACCTCAGTCCCTAAGCTCTTTAAAAAAAAAAAAAAAAAGATTAGGAAGCAAAGGCTCAGAGAGGGAAAGTGATTTTCCCAAGATCACACAGCTTGACATGGGAGCAGGGATAGGAGGGACCCAGGGCTACTTGCCTCCTGAGCCCATGTTCTGTCCAGTTCTTTCCAACCTCCTGGACCTCCTTGTTAGGAGAAAGGATCCAGGAGAAAGTAAAGACATAGGGCAAGAGTTGCTGGAAAATGTAGGAACTACTTTGAAGAAGGGGAAAAAAAAGTGAACAAATCCTAGGAAGATAATTTCATTCAACCCTTAATCTCACCCCTGAAGGTTTTTGGGTTTTGCAGTCCTGGAAAAAGAACCCAGGGCCTGTGTGTGCTAGGCAGGTGCTCTGCCTCTGAGCTACATCCTCACTCCTTCTTATTTTCTATTTTGAAACAAGGTCTAAGTTGTCAAGGCTGGAGCCTCCTGCCTTGGCCTCCTGAGTCTCCTGGCTCTTTTCATTTCTTGTAACAAAGACATTTGTCGTGGCCTTCTTGGGGCGAGAGCATTTCACACAGGTCCTTGGAATCATCCCACCACCCTGAGGATGCACAGAGGGACCCGGGTGCAGGGACCACCCTTCCGGACCAGCACAGGGCAAGGCCTCTCCTCTCTGGATTGTGCTCCGTCTTCCATGAATATCTCTAGTCCCCTCTAGTTCTCAATAACAACATGACCTTATTGGAAAGAATAAAGTGGAAGAGAAGGAATAGAATGAAAAGAAACTTCTCCAGGGAGATTGGGCTGTGCAGCTCC